CCCACCTGTCAGGGAGGTTGTGACAAGAAGAAGCTGGCAGGCAACCACCCCGTTGAGTCTCTGCCCAGGTTGTATCACGCGTCGTCTCACTTGGGGTTCCTCTCCCCTGGCAGTTCTCCCCCCTCCTCCTAAAAGCTCTTCTTCTCGCTTGTGTCCCTGCCCACAGTCACCAAAGGCTTTGTGTACAGCTCCTTCCTGAAGCCCTACAACCCTCGCCGCAGCCACTCGGACGTGTCCGTCGGCAGCCACTCCTCCACCGAGTCGGAGCACAGCACCTCCTCTCCCCGGGTCCCACGGCAGAACGGCAGCAGCACCCTGACGGTCAACCCCAGCAGCACGGCCGTGACCTTCACCTCAGGGTCTTGCCAGAAGCCACCTCAAGACGCCTCTTCGGCAAAGGAACTTGACCAGGGAGCTGTCCGTACCTCGTTGTGCGGGGGTCACTCAGAGAGCCGCCCTTCCGATGCAGACCCCGCATCCCAGCCCAGGCCGTGCGACACTACAGATGCAGCCAGAGACGCGTCCCAGGCCACGACTGCCCCGAGGAGCCACCGACACTCCCGGCACCCAGAAGTGGCTGTGTACGCTGTACCAAGACGAAATGGGCCAAGTAAAGACCCCGGAAAAGAGTGTTCGAGACCCCCTCAGCCTGTGGAAGACAAAAATGAAGAGCCAGAAAGCAGTGAGGCCGAAGGCAACCAGGTAAGTGCTCCCCCGGTGTCCCCCAGGGGGCCAGGTGCTCCTCCAGGAGTGGGTGCAGCAGGCTGGCCCAGGCTGGGAGTTGATCTGGAGATAAGCCCACAGGGGGTCTCACTGCCGGAGAGGGAGCGCTCCTGGGACTGAGCCTTCACTGGCATGTCCTGCCCCCTGCTTCTGGAAGTTGTCATGGGGAAGTGGGTTCTGCGACACTGCTTCACAGGCTCTTGATCTGAATAAAATCTGCTTTTGAGCCCATCTATGTAGTCTTTTGTTCTTGGTGGGTTGTTTTGTTTTTTGTTATTATTGTATTTGGTTTTTGCTCCGGCAGCTATATTTTTTTTATTTCTAGAATTTGCCTTTGCTTCTGTTTCTTTTCCTTTAAATATTTTTTTGTTTTTGTATTCTTTTGCAGTAGCCTGTTTTTTTTCCCCTAACCTCAATTTAAATATAGCCTGTCTATTGAACACCGCGTGTACTCCTGCCTCTCGGCTTGCTGTGCACTCCGTAGTTCCTCGGCTGTGTGTTCACCTACGCGTTGCATTTGCTAACACTGCGGCTCTGAGCTTCCTCGGTGCTGCCTAAGAATTGTCGGGTGCTTGTCTTCAGCAGCCATCAGGCTCCATGGGGAGACCCTGTCACGTCCCAGTTGGCGGAGGTGTTTTCTGCCTCTGCCAAGGCTTGAGTTTCCTAAGAGTGGCTTCCATAGTCATTTCTCAGAGCATTCTTTCTGGGCCACCTTCCTCAGTACTTCTGATTGAGCATATGAGCGTGCTTGGCTTCTCGAGTGATTCTGTTACTACCCACCACCCAGGACAGGCCGACAGACCTACCAAGTGGGCAGTACTCTAGGTGCATCGAGGGAGATGGCCTGTCCCTGTATGCGGACCTTGTGCAGAACGCTCAGTTCTGCCTTCGCCAAGTCCTGAAAGCCCAGCCTCGCTGTGTATCCATCCTTGCACCTCCAGGGCCCTCGAGGCTCCTCCCCTGATCTCCAGTCACCACGTCTTTATTCTTGGCACCTGGAGATCTTTCTTTTTGGTTCCTGTGCCCCGGTAGCACAGCCGTTAAGCACTCAGCTGCTCCCTGGATGTAGAACCTGAGACACCCTCGGGGGCAGTGGACTTGGTAGTCACAGGTCCTTGTGTCTGGGCAGGAAAGGGTTTCTTTACATCTCATCTAGTCACTGGAGGGTCCTTGAGGCACATCAGACAGGGTGGGGAGGGGACTTTGGGGTTTCTGCGAAGCTGCCCAATAATGGCAGCCACTAAGTGTGGGGCTTTTTTATATGTAAGTCCATTAAAATCAAAGAAAGTTCATTTACATTCCTCAGTCTCACTAGCCACACTCCTAGTGCTCAGTCACCCCAGAGGGCTAGGAGCTGTCAGGGTGGGCAGTGGAGATAGAGAATCCCCCCATCATCACAGGATGCCCCACTTCCTAACTTGCGCCTATCTCCCTCACACAGGTCTACTTTGCTGTCTACTCCTTCAAGGCCCGAAACCCCAACGAGCTGAGTGTGTCCGCCCATCAGAGACTCAAGATTCTCGAGTTTAAAGATGTCACAGGAAATAGAGAGTGGTGGTTAGCTGAAGCCAATGGGAAGAAGGGATATGTTCCCTCCAATTATATCTGCAAAACGGAGTACACTTGAGCCGTTTCCACCTGCCACGCACCCTCGCTGTCTTCTCTTTGTCTGCTGGAGGGTTCAGCCTCCACTGGCGAGAAGGCACCTGCTCTGGGACGTAGGCCCTGCTCACGTTGCTCCGCCGTGACACGGTGGAGCATGGGTACGTCTGGTCCTCTATTGGGCTGTGAACCCTGATGCCCACCAGAATTTTGAGTGGACCTTGGGCTTGTAAATGACTTCATGGCCTTGAGAAGAGAGGGAAGACTTGGGGTTGGTCTGTGGGAACTTTCCAGGCAGAGGTCCAGGATTGTATGTCTTCTGAGCACTCTCCTGCTGCAGTAGAGGAGTGTTGGCGTTGGCTACTGCACTGCCCTGAGTCTGGGGCGGCCCTCTGCTCCACGGTCAACTGACCAGAAACCAACTCGGATGGAAAGAAGACCGGCTCCAGGTGCCCAGGGGTAGCCTGTGAGCCCTCGTAGGGGGTGTTCTGCGTACGGCAAGCAGTTTGTCGGGACTTTACCAGCCTCCAGAACACCTCTGGTACCCCGCGCACATTCATGCTCACACACGCCTGCCCTGAGTTCTTTAAGGGCCCTACATTAGAAGTGCCTCTGCGCTTTCTCTTATTTATTTCACTGCACTACCAGAGGGGGCACACCAAGCCTAGCCACAGTCATGCTCCTCAGAAGTGTGACGGGCCTTTGTTTTCCTCCGACCCTTCATCCGGACAGCCCTCGTCCTTCCCTGTGTGCCTAGTTCCCTTTCTGCCGGCCGTTGGGACGTCACGCAGCCTGTCTGTGAGGATAGTCCCCAGCCGCCCCCCACCCCCACCCCCGTGACTCATGAACTGATACATTTTCCTGGGAGAGCAAGTTCAGAGTTCCACTCAAGCCACCAAAAGTATTAATTCTGCAGGAAGCCGAAACCAGCAATACTGGATGCCTTTCTTCAGGCAGCCCGCTTCTGTTTGCTTCCACCCATCTTTGCAGGACCCAAAACCCATGTGCCTCACTGGAATGAAGCTCGGGATCCCAGAAGGAGCTGCTCTTAGACGTGGGAATAAGTATTTTGCATTCCAAACAGCCTGAAGTGCCTGGTCGTACCTCTCGCCGGGCTCAGGGAGACGTCTGCCAATCCTCACATGAGAATCGGCTCGATCTCTTATTCTTAAGGCGCACCTCCTAGCAGTGAACCCTACCGTAGGGCAGGAGACTCCAGATTCTATCTTTTAAGAAAGGAATTGAAGAACAGCCGGATGACCCCTACTCCTCCCGCTGCACATTGGCCTTTAAAATCTGGGTGAATTAGGGATTCCTCCCCACCATGGTCTCTGCTGGCTGTGGGCAGATGGCAATCCAAGTCTCTTGTGAATAGTGTTTATATTTAGAGATGTTTATATTTGAGTAGTTATTTTATAAATAAAAGCAATTCTAATGGCCGTGTGTGTGATTTCTTCAGTTCCTTATATGTTTAACCATTTTCCTTGGATTCTCAAGGGGGCCTCAGTGGCTCGAAGAGGCCCAGGTTTGGGGCCATGGGCATGAGGGAGAGGGAAGGCGCACAGGTCAAATTCATTTTGTCACAAGATTTCAACCGAACCACTCCAATCCAAATGCCGCACAGCCTTTATACAGTAAGACCTTAACATCCCAGAAAAGCTGGAGTCTTAAAGTTATGATCTGCAGGTATGTTTTCCTGGGGTGCCCTGGGGGTGTGATAATGACACTTGGCTGCTAAGGCAAGGCCAGTCCTTTGAAACCACCAGCCACTCCGTGGAGTAAAGAAGGGACTTTCTACTGTAAAGAGTTACCGAGGCTGAGGGGTTACTCCTGTAAAGGAAGCCACAGGGGCATCTACCCTGTCCTCCGGGACCACTCGCAGTCAGAATCCCCTGGATGGCAGGGAGGGACTGGCAAAGTCCGTGACTTGCGCACGGTTACACGAGAAGCCACGCAGGGAAGGTTGTGGGTGGAAGTGAAAGAGAAATTGAAGAAGCTGGAGATGTTGCCAGTGAAGCAATCGTGCACCGTTGTTCAAGAACAGAGACCGCACGGTAGAGCAGAGTTTAAGAAGAGAGACCGCACGGTAGAGCAGATTTTAAGAATAGAGACCACACAGTAGAATACAAGTAAGAACAGACGGCCCAGTAGAGCAGTGTAACACCAGAAACAGCACAGTAGAGCAGATTTTAAAAATCTGCTCTGTGAGTCCACACAATACAGCAGAGTCTACTGTGAGTCCACACAATACAGCAGATTTTAGGAACAGAGACAGCACAGTAGAGCACAGTTTGAGAACAGACTGCACAGTAGAACAGAGGCTAAGAACAGAGAACACACAGTAGAACACAGTTTAAGAACAGAGACTGCACAGTATGGCAGAGTTTAAGAACAGAGACCGCACAGTAGAGCAGAGGTTAACAAGAGACCGTGCATTAGAGCACAATTTAAGAACAGAGACCGCATAGGTTTAGTATGAAGGTAGCAGAAGGACATTGGGCCTCCACTCAAGTACTCCCTCAACACAAGAATACTTTCTTCTAGTAAATTGGCATTCTATGATGCTCACCTTCCCAAAAAAACCCCGAAAAAAAAACAAGCGAATAAGCAAATGTGGTGAAGAAAGCTGATGGTGCCCAACTATCAAAAGATATAGCGTCTGGGGTCTTAAAAGCTTGAAGGTAAACAAGCGGCCATCTAGCTCAGAAGCAACAAAGCCCACATGGAAGAAGCACACCAGCCTTTGCAACCACGAGGTGTCGAAGGGATCAGGTATAAGGCATCATCAGAACAAAAAATCTTACCATAGTGAATGATGCGGGGAGTGCGGAGTGGAGACCCAAAGCCCATTAGTAGGACACTGAAGATCCCCTTGCAGAGGGGTCTCGGGGAGGAGATGAGCCAGTCAGGGTGCGACGTAACAAAGATGAAAAATACAACTTTCCTCTAGTTCCTAAAGGTTTCCTCCCCGCTCCCACTACCATGACTCGAATTCGACCTTGCAAGTCTGGCTAGACCAGAGGATGTACACTGGTACAGATAGGAACTGAAAATACAGGGAATCCAGGGCAGATGAGTCCTACAGGACCAGTGGAGTGAGTGGCGAAACAGGGAGAGTAGAGAGAGAGTGGGTAGGAAAGAGGGAACCAATTACAAGGAACTATATGTGACCTCCTCCCTGGGGGACGGACAACCGAAAAGTGGGTAAAGGGAGACGGACAGGACTGGGCAAGATATGACAAAATAATAATTTATAAATTATCAAGGGCTCATGAGGGAGGGGGGAGCGGGGAGGGAGGGAAAAAATGAGGACCTAATGCCAGGGGCTTAACTGGAGAGGAAATGTTTTGAGAATGATGAGGGCAATGAATGTACAAATGAGCTTTACACAATTGATGTGTGTATGGATTGTGATAAGAGTTGTATGAGCCCCTAATAAAACGATTAATAAAAAAATTTTTTTAATTAAAAAAAAAAAGAGTAGACCATTAAAAAAAAGAAAATTTAAAACTTTACAAAGAAGTAAGTAACTTTGCCAATCTTCCCTTCACCCAATACTCACTGGCCACATAAAATGGGAGCCTTTAGAATTACCTAAGCCATCTCAACTAGTAATTATAAAACAATTATCTGAGCCATAATAATAAATTACTGCCCTAAAAAAGAGATACTGATATCAAGGGGATCAAGAAGAATGATGTTTGAACTGCTGATTGCAATACTTGTACATATCTGCTTAATATAATAGATGTATGAACTGTTATATATGTAAGAGCCCCCAATAAAATGATTTATTAATAATAATAAAAGAATAGAGACCGCACAGTTGAGCAGGATTTAAGAGCAGAAACTGTACAGTAGAGCAGATTTTAAGAATAGAGACTGCACAGTAGAATACAAGTAAGAACAGAGACGGCCCAGTAGAGCAGATTTTTTTTTTTTAAGTAGGGCAGATTTTAAGAATAGAGACCGCAGAGTAGAGCACAGGTTAAGAACAGAGACCGCACAGTAGAGCAGAGTTTAAGAATAGAGACCGCACAGTAGAGAAGAGTTTGAGAACAGAGACAGCACAGTAAAGCATAGGTTAAGAAAAGAGACCTACCGCATAGGAGAGCAGAGTTTAAGAACAGGGACCGCAAGGTAGAGCAATTTAAGAGCAGAGACTGCACAGTAGAGCACAGGCTAAGAACAGAGACAGCACTGTGGAGCATATTTTAAGAATAGAGACCACACAGTAGAACAGAGACCACACGGCAGAGCAGAGTTTTAGAACAGAGACAGCACATTAGAGCAGAGTTTGAAAATAGAGACCCCAAGTAGATCACAGTTTAAGAACAGAGACCACATAGTAGAGCCGGGTTTATGAACAAAGACCGCACAGTAGAGCAGAATTTTACAACAGAGACCGCACATTACAGCAGACTTAAAGAACAGAGACCACACGGTAGAGCCTAGTTCAGAGACCGCACAGAACAGAGTTTGAGAACAGACTGCACAAACAGAGGCTAAGAACAGAACGCACAGTAGAGCAGAGTTCAAGAATAGAGACCACACAGTAGAGCAGAGTTTAAGAACAGAGACCGCTCAGTAGAACAGAGGATAAGAACAGAGAGTGCACAATAGAGGAGACGATAAAAACAGAATGCAGAGTAGAGCAGAGTTTAATAACAGAGACCGGACAGTAGAGCACAGTTTAAGAATAGAGACCGCACAGTAAAGCACAGGTTAAGAACACAGACCACACAGTAGAGCAGAGTTTAAGAACAGAGACCGCACAGTAGAATACAGATTATGAACAGAGACTGCAGAGTAGAACAGAGGTTAACAGAGACCGCATAGTAGAGCACAGTTTAAGAATAGAGACCACACAGTTGAGCAGAATTTAAGAGCAGATTTTAAGAATAGAGACCGCACAGTAGAGCACAGGTTAAGAGCAGAGACGGCACAGTAGAGCAGAGTTTAAGACCAGAAAGAGCACAGCAGAACAGAGTTTAAGAACAGAAACAGCACAGTAGAGCAGATTTTAAAAATAGAGACCACACAGTAGAGCAGAGTTTAAGAACAGAGCCAGCACAGTAAAGCAGAGTTTAAGAACAGAGACCGCACACTAGAGCAGACTTTAAGAACAGAAACCGCACACTAGAGCAGACTTTAAGAACAGAAACCGCACAGTTTAAGAATAGAGACCACAAAGTAGAGCAGAAATTGCACAGTAGAACAGAGTTTAAGACCAGATACAGCACAGTAGAGCAGATTTTTAAAATGGAGTCCACACAGTACAGCAGATTTTAAGAACGGAGACACCACAGCAGAGCAGAATTTAAAAATAGAAACCGCACAATAGAGCAGAGTTTGAGAACAGACTGCACACTAGAACAGAGGCTAAGAACAGAGACCACACAGTAGAGCAGAGATTAAGAACAGAGACAGCACAGTAGAACAGAGCTTAAGACCAGAAAGAGCACAGTAGAGCAGATTTTAAATATAGAGACTACACAGTACAGCAGATATCAAGAACAGAGACAGTACAGTAGAGCAGAGGTTAACAACAGAGACCGCACAGTAGAGCAGACTTTAAGAACAGAGACCACATGGTAGAGCAGAGTTTAAGAACAGAGACCACACTGTAGAGCAGAGTTTTAAGAACAGAGACCACACTGTAGAGCAGAGTTTTAAGAACAGAGACCACACGGCAGAGCAGAGTTTAAGAACAGAGACCACACGGCAGAGCAGAGTTTAAGAACAGAGACCACACAGCAGAGCAGAGTTTAAGAACAGAGACTGCACAGGAGAGCAGATTACAAGAATAGAGACCATACAGTGGAGCACAGGTTAAGAACAGAGACCACACGGTGGAGCAGAGTTTAAGAATAAAGACCGCACAGTAAAGCAGAGTTTAAGAATAAAGACCGCACAATTGAGCAGAGTTTAAGAACAGAGACAGCAGAGTAGAACAGATTTTAAGAAGAGACACAGCACTGTAGAGCAGAGTTTAAGAACAGAGACCACACAGTAGAGCAGATTTTAAGGACAGAGACCGCACAGTAGAGCAGAGTTCAAGAACAGAGACTGCACAGTACGGCAGAGTTTAAGAAGAGATCCCGCCAAAAAGTGGGTACCCTTCACAATAGCCAAACACAAACTGAAATATCTAGGGATATACCTGACTCAAAAAACAAAAGACCTGTATGAGGAAAACTACAAAACGCTATTAAAAGAAACCAAGGATGACCTCAACAAATGGAAGGAAATCCCCTGCTCGTGGTTTGGCAGACTCAATATTTTAAAGATGTCAATTCTACCCCAGGCACTATATAAGTTCAATGCTATCTCGATCTAAATTCCAGCAACTTTCTTCAGAGTTGGAAAAACAGATTACCAACTTCATATGGAGGGGAAAGAAACTGAGAATTAGTATAGAACTCCTCAAGAGGAAGGA